TCATTTCCAACTCTCATATTACGCTTCGATAGAGCTAGCTTAAGCTCATTGATGTTGCAGCCAATCAATTTAGCAACAGTTGACAAACCTGAAAAAAAACATAGACAGCACCAGATGAGCCACAAATATTAAATAACCAAAACCCTTCTCCAAAAGAATGTAACAAAAACTATAGAGGTGACATTTTCGCACACATTATACAGAAAAGCAGAAAAAACTTAAAAAGAGCAAGTATCCGTATTTTAAGGACTGAAGAGTCTTACTTTCATCTGGTTCAGGTTCAACGTGATTTTCATTGTCAATAATGGTGAAAGAAACATTCCCAAGCCATAATACTGCTGCAAGCATTGCAAATACACTTTCTTGATCTTCTTTACTAACATGGACAATATCTAGAGCTTCCTGCAACAGCAAAGAGTTTTTCAATCAAAAGGTCGAATTAAATGTCTGAATAATGCAGAAAAAGAAAGAAGATATTCTTTACTGAATAGTGGAGTTACCTGAACGGCGTGAAAACGTTCAGCATCATCAACTCCATTAATTGAATAGCAATTGCTCTGTCTCAAATATTTATACTCTTTTGCGCTTGTCAAATGTAGTTTCTCTGATTAAACAATGAGTGGAACAAATGTCAGTTATGCAATAACACAACATTTGACCTGGAAAGACTATACCGTGAGTTGTTCTAAGCGCTGTTTAGGATTCCAATCTCAAACCATACCTCTAAGCGTAGGTGAAGCCCCAGCACAAAGTTGATAAAATATATGATATGACCTTTCTCCTTCCGCACATTGAACCACTCTAGACTATTAAAATGTGTCAGAAGAAAAAGAAAGCATGCCATAAGTTACCAAACCATATTTTTCGACATGAAAGAGATTGACGCAGTGGAAATAGTATAGAGGAACTTACCTTTTCTAGTAAAACTGAAAAAATTGAAGAAACAGCAAAAAGCTATGTTAGCATTTGTTAGTAAAAATTAACAGATACTGTGAAGCGTCAAATGAAATCTTTATGCTTACATGTTTGGATTTTAGCGCCGGAAATCTTTCCTGTTTCACTAAAATGAATCTCTATCAGCTTTCCCTGTCAAATGTAACATCAAAGAAATATCATGAGACAAACAAAGGCCCAAAACGTTCAAAGACACAGAGCAAAGGAAAAAGATAATGAGGGCTTACAAAACGACTAGAATTATCGTTTCTCAATGTTTTGGCATTTCCAAATGCTTCTAAGATGGGATTAGTCTTTAATATCTCATACTCGATCCCACTTCCACCTCCAAGAGCAGCCAAGTATTGCATTGCTATCTTTGCTGTCTCAGTCTTCCCTGCTCCACTCTCTCCGCTGAATAAAAATAAATCTTGTGATAAGAAAACCCTTTGAGCTTACTTATACATAAGTGGTAGCAGCTAACTTTTAAAGAGGAAATTTTGGACTAACCTGATAATGATAGACTGGTTAACTTCATCTGAAATGGAAACCAAAAAAAATATCAGAATTCTAACATAGAGTGCATATATGTTAAACAGTTAACAAACTAAGAAACATGAACCCACCTCGTATCATTTCACGGATTGCTGTATCTGCAATAGCATAGACATGAGGGCTCTCATTTGATCTGTTCCTGTAAGCTTCAATGTTACGATTACCGTACAAAGGAACCTCCTTGAAGGGGTTCACAGCCACCAGAACAGGCCCTGCTTTTGTCTACCACCATAAAAAAAAAAATCAGAAAGGCAATAACAAAGGCTGTAACATTTTACTATAGAGTTATATAGCACAAACGTCTTACATAGATCATGTCCTGGTTGTACCTATACTCAAGGTTGTACAACACAGCAGGCTCATTTAAGTAACTTAGTTGCATGAGATCGTCAACTCCATCAAGAATATCAGGATTCGCAGGTACTAGACTCTCTGATGTAACCTTTAAAACCTGTTAGACCAAAGTGTAGTAATAGATTCTGATCAAACACTTAAAATAATAATTAACATCTACCTCCAGGAATTTAAAAAAAAAAAATCACTTACCTTTCCCTCAAGTAGTTTAATAACAGACTCTTCTCCTGAAGTTGACAGTACCTTCCCTAACTCCCAGTTACCGTTTGGAAGTTGGACCCAAAATTGCAATGCCTGAAAATTGAATTTTTTCAAAACTTAATCTAAGTGAAGGAATTTTCCTCTAATGTTTTTTCCAACATCTCATCAATGATAAGAAAAGTTGCAAACTTGCAATATAGGAACCTTAAAGGATACCTTTTTCCGAGCATATGTGCTTGTGTCACTCCACCTGCTATCGTTACTCAGAGGCAAGGGCACAACAGGATCTCCATCACCAATCGAAGAGCGCTCTCCATTTGAAACGCTTTGCACGCTATATGGTGAATCCTCATTAGCATTATCCATTCCATTAACTCCATTCTTGAAGTGACCATTTTGTGGGGTCACATAAACACTTGAGCCAGAGGAATCCTCAGAGGTTGGTGAACCAATGAATCTATAGTCCGCCGGCATCGATTTAAGAGACTGAACCGATGGCGTAACCTTCCGGGACATTTTTCCTGTAAGTGAGAAAAAAGTGTTCAGTTTTAAGGAAATGAGACCGGAAAGAAAACTACTTCTGCTCTCCGACAAGCTTTCTGAAGAAGACATGCACTAAAGTTAACCTAACAGAACAAATAGCAGGGGACCATACTTTAAAGTGATCTTTCAATGTTCAGTCACCATTATAGAGTTCACACAATCCAAAAGAAAAGATTCCAAAATTAGGCAAACTATGAAATCCTCTAAAATGATTGAATGATAGATCCAATGATCACACTGAAAATAAATGTAAGACTTGATCTTACACAGATTGTTATGACTATAAAATATTTGATATGATCGAAAACAAATCAATTTAGATTGAATCTTGAGCCATGTCAATGATTTTTAAAAGGAGAAGAACAAATGTTGACGATTTCTTCAGCAGAAGACCATTTCCACAAATCGGACAAAGATATAAACTTTGCTCGATTGCATAAATAATTAGCAAGAATCGAAAAAAATTGTGAAACTGATTCGATCTAGCTCATAGATTACCTTTTAAAATCAGAAAGCCAAAAAAGAGAAAAACCCGCCAATCACCACTTTAATGGAGATACTTCAGATTTACAGAAGAAGAAAATGATTTCCCAGAAGAGATCGATCTCAGACATGCACACAAAAAAATTATCACCTCTGAATAAATTTCCGTGAATCTGAATGTAAACTCCGGAAATGATTGAAAAAAATTAAGGAAAGAATATGGAGAGACAAAATGTCGTGGAAGTAAAAAGGAGAAAGAAGAGATATATCATATAATATACTTATAACACTTGGGGTTTAACAGTAACAATGGTGAGTGAGAAAAGTGAAGAGCAAATCAGGAAATTGGAGAGAAAATCGGGAAAAGAAAGGAAGAAGAAGAAGAAGATGAAACTTTTTCTCTGCTTAGTAAAACTGTTTTCTTTCCTCTTAATTTTTGTTCTTTCTGACTTCAGTTTATATTATTTTTAGCAATTCTGATTTTAATTAGTCATCCGACATATTTGAATGTCTTTTTGGCCACCAACAGTGGAATTTTCAGCACCTCACGTGGTTAAAATTCCGATTTTACCCTTTATATTTTTCTTAACCGATGCCTTTTGTTTTTCAAATGATGTGATCATACAAAATTAATGACGATCAATCTCATTCAATGTTTTTCAAATTATAGTTAAGCAGAACTGTAGATTCGAATTTCAAAAACAAAAAATTCTTGTGTTCATAAAATACGTTCTTGGGATTATCGGAAAGTAAAATATTTGAATGTATACCCGTTCAAGTTCAAGAGAATGTCACATATTTATCATAGTTTATAATTGTCCAAAGCAAATTCAACTATAATTTTAAGGAGTAACTATCAAGTAACCATAAATGAATTAGAATCGGTCCATGTTTCGATCACATCTCCATTTTATGTTAGTCAACCATATATTAATATACAACCTGAGAATATCTTGGCTTATATTCGTTTCAATGTTACTAAAATAATAAAAATTTCGGCCTTATTTTTCAACAAGAATAATAATTGAGTAGTTAGCTAGTACTAGTATGCCGAAAGAACAATTTTTTCTCTTTGCCAAGAAAACATTATGATCATGACAAAGAGTGATGCAGACACGAAGGTGTTTGTTTTAGTAGATTCTAGGAAACACCTAGACATTTTGCGATTGGGCTGAAACCTATTTCTCCAATTTTCGTTATATAGGTCAACTAAAAGTTTTGGTTAGTCACTAACGTTTTTGATGGTGCTGTTAAAGTCATTGAGACGAACATAAATCAAAGTTTTGATAGTGAAGAAAAAGGTCTTAAAATAATTTAAAGTTAGTGAAGAAGAAATGTTTTAAAAAATTATTACAGAACAACAACGATATGGTAAATCATTTTGTAGCAATTACAGTAGAGATGAAAAAAATATGATGTTTTTAAATTCTCAGTTTCGTAATGTATAATCCGATCCCTAACGAACCAAACAAATAAAAATGAAGACTTTTTGATATGTACAAGAGATTTAAGTGAAACCTTACTAAAAGCAATATACAGTTTTCTTCTTCACCTTCTTATAAGTTTGTGAAGAAGGGGCTTCTCTTCGCGTTTTCTTAGAACCCAAGCAAATAGACTTATGCTTGTAACTGCACACAAAACAAAACCAACATTGGGATTAGCTTCAAGAGCAAGAACAAGATAACGAGTTGATGAAAATCTGCCAAATCCCGTCTAAGACGAAATGCCAACTAAAGTTATAACTCATAAGCAAAGCCAAGAAACCCAAAACAGAAGCTTGAAGATTCTTCAAACAATGAATCAGTTTTTGTATCTATCAATTCTCAATTCTCAAACACTAAGAACTAAACCACCTTGCACAGAAACATCAAGCAAATCAAACTAACAGCATCATAGATTCACAGCCAAGATCAGCAAATCACTCACAAACCTCAATCCAATTCGTCTTGCCTAGTATCCATATCAGATCCACCCCCAGAATCCGAATTCGCATCCTGTCTTCTCAACGACCATGGAAATGATATACTAAACCTCCTCGGCGTCTGTTGACTCTCGCCTGATCCCTGCCCGTCTCCGCGAGCCCTGTTCTCGTACTCAGCATCGTCCGTGGGCAGCTCATGTCGACAAACCGGGCACGAGTTGTGAAGCTGCAGCCACGGAAGCAAGCAATCATGATGGTACACGTGTTTGCAAGGCATCTGCTTAGCCTCGATACCATCTTCAAACTCATCCATACAAACTGCGCACTGATTCGTTTCCGATTGCAGCATGTCCTTCGTCACCTTCACAGTCGGGAGCGCATCGGTGGCGGATTTCGAAGCCGGAGGAGTTCCGTACCGATTCGGATCGTCTTCAGCTAGTTGTTGAATCAGATCCTCGAGGCCACGGCCGAAGAAGTAATCCCCGTGATTGCCTGCTAACGGATCCGAGAGATAGTTCTCGAACAAAAGCTGGACGTTGATACCGCTGGATTGCATTTGCTGGAGATGGCTATGGATAAACCTAACTGGATCGAAAGCATCAGGCGGCTGCTGAGTAGACTGTGCCTCCGTCGATTGACTCAGATTCGTCAAGTCCATGACTGGGATAAAGGGGAAGCGAGATGTGATTGGATCCGAAATCGGAAAGACCAGATTGGGGATTGGATTAGGGTTGGGTTCCATGTATTCTTCGAGGAACCCTTCGCTGCAAAGGGGACAGAAAGGATCGGTGGAAGAGGAAATCGAGATTGTGATGGTTTGATTGCACTGGTAGCAGAAGAACATCTTGTCCTCCTCCGCCACGACGGAGGATTCGGTTGAGTTTCCGCCAGCAGACATGACGGAATCTGCAAATCTCAGAAACGCGTCGAACGAGAAAAACGGGAACAGAGAAGGGAGAGAGAGAGAGACGACGTTTCAGCGAATCTCGATTGTGTCACTCAATCTCTTTCCCGGCGAGGACTTTTTTCGATTATGGGCTCTAGACCCGGCCCAATTATGGTTTAATTTCTTATCATTAAGGTTGTTTTCTTAATTTTCTAATAGTATGGGGCTAAATTGAAAGAATTAAAATGTAGTGGACTTCACATAAAAGTCATCACTCATCTTTCGTTTGTGATAGGAAACTTTTTTTTTTTTTACCAAAGGCTTAAATGATAGGAAACTTGAGATTGAAGATTTATGTAAATCATAGATAAAATCTTAAAATGTCAAAAAATTTAGCAAAGTGTGCTGAGAAAATGTTAAGAAATGGCTTATAAATGAACTTGTTTAGGCTTTTTTTTTTTTTGCATTTGGCAGTTAAAAAATAGCTGCAAATTCTGCTTTGATTTATTGGAATGAATCAGGTAAAAGAATTCAACATTAAATAATTTTTTTGACAGTTTTCGATCTTCTTCTTCTTCTCCTCCTCTCGGCCGCAGATTCTCACATCTTGTTGGCTTATTCCCTTGAAAAAGCAACCAAACAACGGCGGCTAAGCAAACACCTTTGCCTAGACTTTGAAACCTTAACTTTTCTTTTGGCTCTTAAACCTCCTTGACATAAGTCTCTTCACTTCCTCCAATAACAGCATCATCTGGGATGTAACGTTTCCAGAACGGATGCTGCTTCCACACTCTTCCCATCTCTTCAATAGGAACCCCTCTCGTCTCCGGCAACAAGAAGTAAATGAAGACGGTCATGACCGCAACCATACCTCCAAAGAAGTAGAAGAGACCAAACTTCATGTGGCAGAGCATCGTCAGGAAGAATTGTCCAATGAGGAAAGTGAAGAACATGTTGACAGAGACGTTGATGGCTTGTCCCGCTGGTCTGATCTCCAACGGACAGATTTCACTCGGTACCAACCATCCTAATGGACCCCATGACCATGCAAACCCTGCAACGTATAAACATATGAAAGCTAGGATCCAATCCGCTGTTGCAGGCGTCAAGGTCCCAGCTCCAGTGGTTCCAAACTTCATTCCGATCAATGTACCAACAACGATCTACAAAAAAATGTCTGTTAGTGTTAAAGTATGCAATCATCACTTCATATGTGTACTGTGAGCTGAAAACGTACCTGGCAAACAATCATTTGGATACCACCTTCAAGGAAGAGAATCCTTCGTCCGTATCTGTCAACGGCATAGATGGAGACGAGGGTAGAGACAACATTAACCACACCGGTGATAACCGCGGAGATGAGGGAGGCATCGTCTGCGAAACCGAGGGTTTTGAAAAGGACAGGAGCGTAGAACATGATCACATTGATACCAGTGAACTGTTGGAAGAAAGGAATCGCGGAACAGAAAACAAGCGCAGGTCTGTATTTGGCCTTGTTGAAGATGTTCTTCCATGGATTCTCCACTTTTTTAGCAGCTTCGCAAGCATCGCAAAGATCCTGAAACTCCTCGTCGACGTTATCAGCGCCTCGGATCTTCTGCAACATCTCCCTCGCTTGTTCGTACTTGCCTCTCTCGAGCATCGAGTTCGGTGTGTCGGGCAAGACAAAAGATCCGATAACCATTACAACTGCCGGAACAGCAGCTAGTCCTAAAGACACTCGCCATCCGTTCCTAGCCATTTTAGATGTTCCGTAGTTGATCAGGTTCGCAATTAGGATTCCGATAGTTATCGCCATTTGAAACCCGATGTTGAGCGCTCCTCTGAGCTTGGCCGGAGCCATCTCGGACAGGTAAACCGGAGTAGACTGTGGAAATAGAAAGACCGGAAAATCAGCCATACAAAACCAAACCGAAACCGGAAAATGTAACTGAACCAAATAGAGAAACCAATTTTTGGACTAACCTGATTAGCGAAGCCAACACCGACTCCAAGCAACAATCTACCGATGATGAGCATCGCGACGTTGACGGCGAAGGCGTTGAAAAGAGCGCCAATGAGGAAAGCGACACCACCAACGAACATGGAGATTTTGCGACCGTACTTCCTTGTGACAGCGGAAGCTGCAAAGGAAGACGCGAGAGCTGCGAGGTAGAGTGAGGAAGTGAACAGCTGAAGCAGTTGGTTATCGAATTTGCAGTAAGCAGTCTCGCGCTTTCCGCTGTGCATTTGCCTATCCACTTCCGGGAAAAACTTTTTCAGAAACTCCTCCATTGATGTTACTCCTCCTGCACAAGAAACCACATTAGGAAACTATATTGAACCGGAACCGAACCAAAACCAGTAAATTTAATGATTTTAATTGTATATTCAAAATACAATACCGTTTTATATTATTTGGACCAAAAGTTTTCAAACCAAACTACAAATCGGTCTTAATTTGATGAAAAGACATTGTAAAAGTTACATGTCGGAAACGAACTAAAACTGAAGAAAACTGAATGTCCACTCGGAACAAAAAAAATCAAGAAGACGAAAGTGGAATTTACAGACCTGAGATTCCGAGGTCGTAACCAAATAGAAGACCTCCCATGGCGGCCACGAGACAGGTGATGATGACAAAGGTGGTGACTCCACCTTCATAGCTTCCTCCACCACCACCATCTGATACAAAGGCTCCTCCCGCCATTGTTAATTATTCTTCACTGGCTTATTAGTTATTTGCTTTTGCTTTATTATTATTTGCCTTTTGCTTTGTTATTTCAAACAAGAACTTGAGAGCTTCTGATCCAAAACTTAAGAGCTTGTGAGCTTCTTAAATACACAAAGTTTCGTGGTCTATTATTAGGATTAGATTGTGATGTGAGCTGTTAGAGTTATATTTTTGCTAATGAATAGGGGAAGTGGTTTTGGTTTTTTTCTATCATGTTCTAAACCCTGTTTTAGTGGAGACTTGACTGTCTTCTTTTAGACCGTTTCTTTGTGTTTTTACAGACAGTTTCAACTCTTAATTCTTTAACCTTTTTATTACATGAGACTGTAAGAGATAAGTCGAAAAAAACAGTCTCTAACCCGAAAATAGAAACTTGTAATAACAAATTGATAATTGCATTTTAATTTGATAAATAATTGGGCTTAGGTTCGTTTGTGTACGAAATTCAAAGTCTATTTAAAGGTTGTCAGAGTAACGAAGAAGTCTTTTGGGAGATTATTTACGGTTAGTTTGGTTGGGAATTGGGATATAGATCTGAATAATTGATGCACGTCATTATAGGTCGTTGTTCTAATTTCTAAATAATCTGGGAGACAAACTTTGAAGAACATGTCTTAAGAGTGAAGAAACCTAAATCAATATATACATAGCAAGAAAGCTCAACATCGTCAATTCGTCATGACGTATATTTATATAATCTTATGATTGAACATGTTCTCATTTTGTAACTTTTCTCTTGACAACAAAAAATCAGCATTCCCAAAGTTGAATCATGATGACTGCATGTGTATATAGTGTAAAGCATGAATGCAAATTTGTGTGAGAATTATAATTAACGGCGTGAAATATATGAAATTAGGTCATGTTTTGACAATTTTGGCGTCGACTTCCACGGCATATATACGATGTGTCGATGTCGATGGACAATCTTGTCTGGCTGTCTCTGTGACTATATATATATATATATAGCAGCAGTGATCAAAAGAAGAAAAATGTTAAGAACTCTTATCGAAAATTTGGCTGCAGCTTGATTCATTGTCTTCGATCGGTAATATATACTAGGTTTGTTGATCCAAGATGAGTTATATATTATTACCGATCTTCAAGTGTGACTTGGTTAGTGTCTTAGTGATGGACTTCAAGTAGTATTTTTAGCTTCGTTATTCACAAATTTTAGTAGTTTTTTTTCGTAACATATTTGAAATTTACGAGGATATTCTCGGCAGATACAACATGTTAATAAAAATATTATTATTTAAATTGTAAAGGAAAAAGAAAAATCAAATTGCAAATAACCACCAAACAATTTCGTGGTTAACATTGTGGAAATCTGAGTGCCCCAGAAAACCTCTTTATTCGCGAGATCTTTCACTCGACGCACTTGCAAACCCTAATCCGACGAGCTCTCCTTCGCCGCTGGATCCTCATCGCAGGTCAGATTTCTTCCTCATCTTCTTTTTGTCCCTCTCTCGCTGCGTCAGATTTTTACTGGATCGAAAATGCCTTCTTATTTTTCTACTAGTTTTTGATAGCTCAAGTTTTGGGGCTTTGAATGTCTCAATATCATTTCTTCGAATTTCGATGTTGATTTAGTCCTATTGTCCCTTTGGCTTCTATCGATCTCCGTCTTGCATGTTTGTTAATTTCATTATAACGCTTTCTCAGTGTTGAATCGTCTATATCTGTTTCTGTATGTATGATTAAGATGAACAAAATTGAAGTGAGTCCTTTTACTTATCATCTACAGATTCGTGACTTCTTTGATTTTGATGAAATTGGATTAAGATGGCTGGATATTCAACGAAAGGAGCTCCAACAAATGGATCAGTCTACGTTTCCAATCTCCCATTAGGAACTGATGAGAATATGTTGGCTGAGTATTTTGGAACCATTGGGTTGCTTAAGGTATGGTATTGGACAGGTACTACTAATTGTTGCTTCTGTTTGATATCATTGCAATTTCTTTATCCTCAGGATTTCTGAGTTTCTTATAATTTGTTCATATGTGGTTTTTTGTAGAGAGACAAACGAACTGGTACTCCCAAGGTATGGCTGTACCGAGACAAAGAGACTGATGAGCCGAAAGGAGATGCTACTGTTACCTATGAGGACCCGCACGCTGCTTTGGCTGCTGTCGAGTGGTTCAATAACAAAGAGTTTCATGGAAGCATCATTGGAGTTTTCATGGCCGAGTCGAAGAATAAAAATGCAGTTGATGCGACTGAGTTTGCTGGATTCGAGGAGGGTGATAAGGAGATAAGCGAAGGTGCTGGAAGGGGGAGAGGTCAGGCTGATTCTTCCGCTAAGCCATGGCAGCAAGATGGTGACTGGATGTGCCCTAATACAAGGTCTGTGATGTGATATCGGTGAGGAGCTTCATCTAGCTCTTGTTTCCGTTGAATTTGAAGTTTTTTAATTTCATTAGTTTTTGTCAGTAGTGTTCACATTCTCTTCCTATTTGGCAGTTGTACAAATGTGAATTTTGCGTTCCGTGGTGTGTGCAACCGCTGTGGAACTGCTAGACCAGCTGGTGCATCTGGTGGCAGCATGGGGGCTGGTGGTCGTGGAAGGGGTCGAGGTGGAGGTGCTGACGGTGGGCCACCAGGCAAGCAGCCTGGCGCTTCTACTGGTCTTTTTGGTCCAAATGATTGGTCTTGTCCAATGTAAGCAACCCCTTGATACGATGTAGACTTTATTTTTTAAGTTAAGTGGAAGTTTATTGCTATGTGTTTTATACTAAGAGGCTGCCTTCATTAATGGGTGCATAGTGCATGCTTGTGTTGTGGGTGTATATGCTTTGGTGTTCATATACTTAAGTTTTTTCCTTTTGTTCAAATATCTTAAATTCAGGTGTGGCAATGTCAACTGGGCTAAGCGTTTAAAATGTAATATCTGCAACACCAATAAACCGGGTCAGAATGAAGGTGGTGTGAGGTATGACACAATGTCAATAAACCTTTGAATTGTTCTTTTGCAGTATTCCAGCTGAGAATTTTGGATCATAAATGATTTTACAGTGCGTTTATGAGAGATGATAGATTTTCTGTTCAAATGTTCATAGTGTTGCTGTTAGTAGGGTATTTTTTATGGCCTGATAAATACCTGGAAAAAGGACACAAGATTCTCTTCTGTAATATGAAAAAGTGCTTTCTGTGCTACAGTGTTCTGTATCAAAACGTTTGTTCCCCGATAATTGATAGATCTCACTTGTAATGTTTTATTCGAGTTGCATTAATAATCACCAATATTTCAGTTTGACGAGCTGTTGTTCTCTTAAAATTCCAGGGGAGGTCGTGGTGGTGGTTACAAGGAACTGGATGAGCAAGAATTAGAGGAAACAAAGAGACGCAGGCGTGAGGCTGAAGAAGTAAAATATGCTTTCCCTGAAGAGTTGTACAGTCTTTTTTAGTATATACACCGTTTAACTTGTATGTCATAAAATCTCAGGATGATGGTGAAATGTATGATGAGTTTGGCAATCTAAAGAAGAAGTACCGTGTTAAAACACACCAAGCTGACACCAGACCTGCTGTTGCCGCTGGTCGTGCTGGGTGGGAAGTCGAGGAACTAGGTAATTTCTGTTTATTTTGAAGTCTTGTAACTTTTTCTATGAAACCATCAAGATTCAAGAAGGCCGAGCCTAAGAACAGAGCCTTTCCCCTTTATTTGGCTCCATATATACCTTTACCTTCTAGCGTACTGAGTACTGTGTTTGTATCCATGTTGCAGGGACAGGCAGAGACAGGCAAAGAGACCGTGGCGATAAGCGTAGAGATCATCACTACGATAAGGATAGACGCAGGAGCAGAAGCAGAAGCCGAGAGAGGGAAAGAGGCAAAGAGCGTGACTATGACTATGACCATGATCGGGACAGAGACAGAGACAGAGATTACGGTCGTGGAAGCAGGTACCGTATCTGAGAGATTGCGTAAGAGTGTGTTAGGGGCTATTAATTTCTCTCATCTTTTTCAATGTTTTGTCCACTTAAATTCTACATTGTTAACAATTCAACGTCTTCTACTTTTCCTTTTGATTGTGTGAAAGTAAAATGCCTTTTTTGTTTTACTTAAATGGTCTCTCTCAGTGATCATGCTTTATCTGAGATTATCCCACTATACATAATTTGAAAAAGGATTATTATCGACATTATCAAAACAACTGTATCATTTACATATTCTAATTTTACAAAAGTATTAACGGAAAAAAATGGTAAGCGATGTTATTTGCAAATTTTAACGTGCATTAGTTTGTCTTTTGTGTTAATTTTAGTTGTACTTGTCCCTTGGGTATTTCTTTTTGTGATTTTTCTTAATGTCCTTTTTTTTTCTTGTTTGCCAATCATTTCGTCGCTGTATTATTCCAATGGAAAGAACTATAAAGATAGAAACATGGAAGATTTCTGTGGATAATAACTTTTTCAGAGCTAAAATAGGATAAGAAAAAATTGGGCTTTTGTATTTGCGGGGACGTGGAGGTATATTTTAATATCATGTCATTGTCAAATACATGGTCGCATTTGGAAATACGATGATAAAGCTCGTAGTGGACTCGCACATATAGCAGAAAAAGACATTTTAGTATTGACCCCATACATTCACATGCATCGAGAAAGGAATTTTTATTAGTAAACCGTAAAACCTGAAAAAAAAATATCAATACAAATGAAAATAGGCAAAAGTAAATTAAATCAAATGTTAAGTTAATATTGATTTACGTTGAACTTTATATGATCTATTGATCACGAGATATTTGTTCATACACATGTACTCTTTCTTTTCCAAGCCTACAGTGTACATGGAAAGTTCGAAATTATCAAATTTTAATGACTTTATAAAATACAATGAGTTGCAGTTTTGTTTGAATTGATATATTACATCTATTAACTTAAAAAGCGAGTATGACAAAATTGTTGTTTTCTACTATTTGTTTTGGAGTAATTACAGATTCTGCAGAAGAAAATAAGAAATATGTCGGTACCAAAAAAAAAAAAAAGATAATATGGTTTTGGCGGTAACATGTTATTTGGTGATCCCATTTATAAGGTCAAAGCAATAACATTGTAGAAAACTGAACCTAATGCCCAAACATTATAGTTGTTAGTAAAAAACAATATTTTTATTTTCTTATAAGGATCAAGGACAGTAGCTTAGTAGGTAGTAACCATGAAACTGGATAACAAAAGTAGATTATTAGTACTTTTTAAAGTCAAAACTTCTCAAAAAAATAGGAATCAAAATTCAATAGCACTCGTTTAAAAATCAACAAAACAAGACAAACATAAGAAAATCATTTTATGGGAATTTGAGATCATTTGAAATGTTGTGGTTTTCTATAATAATTTGATACACAACTAAACTAGTCCAACATAAACTTTTGTCTGTTTACTCCCGACTAATTTCTCTTTAATTATTTTAATAGATTTGTATCTACATTGGTGTAAGTAGAGACAAATAAAGCACTATATATCATCTCCTCATTTCCATGTGGCCACTATAATTATTGCTCTATAAATTCCAAAGAAAAAACAGAGGAAGCAAAAGAGAAAAAGCTAACAAGTCACAAGATTTCATTAGGCTTCTTCATAGGTCGACGCAATGTCTCCTGTCTACGATCTTCAAATCAATCTCAATGGTCAATACAATTTCTTCCTCAACCAGGTAAAAAAACTAAACCTAAAGATCGATTCAAAATTCACAAATCTTGATTATGCTCTGTTCTTATTTCTTTGCGTGCTCTGTTTTAGGATGTGATTTCAAAGTACTGTGGAAGCTTGAGGAAGATGATAAAACAGAGCAAAAAGAAGGGAAACAAGAAATCGAAACCTCCAGAGATCATCACTATCGAGATTGATGATTTTCCAGGTGGACCAGATGGGTTCGAGCTGGTTTCAAGATTCTGTTACAGCAACGGAGAAATCTCTATCGACGTCTCAAACGTTTCGACTTTGTACAGTTGCTCTGTTATTCTAGGCATGACAGAGAAGTTATGTTCCTCTAATCTCTTGTTTCAGACAGAGAAGTTTCTAAGAGAAGTGTTGTATGGATCTTGGAACGACATCCTTTTGTGCCTCAAGAACTGCGAGCAAGTATTCCTCCACGCTGATTCGTATGGTCTCGTCGACAAACTCATCTTCGCAGCTTTGACCAAGATCTCTCGGAACTCGGACGTGTTTTCTTCTTCTTCTCTGTCTTCTTCCTTTGCTTCTTCTCTTTCTCCTGAGATGGCCAAGAACACGCCGGAATCAGACAAAAGGTCTGTTTCTTGCGGAAGAAGTAACGAGTGGTGGTTCGAAGATATGTCGAGTCTCTCCCCACGGATCATCTTGAAGCTGATAAAGATCACTGGAGCTTACAAAACCAACATAAAAAGCTTGGTCCTAACCAAGTTTATTCTCCATTACCTCAAGACAAAACTCCAAGACAAATCAGAGGTTATGAGGAACAAGCTAGAGTACTCTGATTTAGCTGATAAAGCGGTCAAAGGAGTGGTTTTGGCTGGGGAAAACGCGTTTTCTTGCAGGAAACTCTTCTGGGTTCTTAGGGTTTTATCAAGCTTTAGCCTAAGTAGAGAGTCAAGAAGCGGTTTAGAAACCCTAATTGGAGAAATGCTGGATCAAGCAACACTTGATGATCTTCTGATATCTGCAAGAGGTGGAAGCAGAGAGAGTGGATTCTACAATGTTGATCTCGTGATAAGATTACTAAGAGTGTTTGTGAAGAAGAGAGAAGAAGAAGAATCAAGAGAGCAGGATATGAAAGAAATTGGAAGATTGATTGATAAGTATTTGAGAGAGATATCTCCAGATCAGAATTTGAAAGTATCCAAGTTCCTTGGAGTTGCAGAGAGTTTGCCTGATTCAGCTAGAGATTGCTTTGATGGAGTTTACAGAGCCATTGACATCTATCTACAGGTTAGTTTTTTATTTTCCTTTGATAATTTTTGTCTTTGAATTTCTTTACCAACTAACTGATGGTGCCAAAAAAAAGTTTTTTTTTTAATGAGACAAAATATAAACAGAATACGTAATAATTGCTAATTTTTGTGTTGGACATACAAAAAATGACAAGTGCCAGATAGGTCTCAATACAGTTTTCTATTTAATGCATTTTGGTTTTGATGAAAAAAGAGTCAAACTATTCTTTTATTCATCATAAGGATTTGAAGTTTGAGATTATCTGTATAAGCACATGTATACCATTACAAAAAAACACACACTCACATATACATAACATTCAAGATTTGGAGTCATCTTTAGATTCTTCACTCTGTCTGGTTACTGCCGTGGGGTTCATGTCAGATTAACCCACAGGGCCACAATCGTTTCTGTATTTTTGTTCTTGTCTTGTCTCTTTTTTTATTCTTCTAATACTATAAATAACACTGTACTATAAACTTCAAAACTATAATTTTTCTGGTAAGGTAATATCAATTGCCACTTGAAAAAAACATATCAAAACTAACAATTATTATTCATCTTTAGGTTTTTTGTTTTTTGTTTTGACAGCTATTAATCTTTCGTTTGTATTGATATTTTTGGATATATACAAAAAAAAAAATCAAGAAATGATCAATGCCCTTACTGATAAGTTCCTTTTGCTGTTGTTGTACAGTCTCACCCGAACCTAACACCACAAGATCGAACAAAGATATGTCGTTGTCTCAACTACAAGAAACTAACAATGCAGACGTGCAGACAGCTCGCCAGAAACCCTAAGATTTCTCCAGATATCGCCGTTCAAGCACTCAAGTCGAAATGTGACAATCAAGCAAACAAAATTCCCGATGTGAAAGTTGCAAATAAGAGTTTTTCTTGTAGATATTCAGAAGAGAAGAAGCCTGTGTTGTTGCATCTCAAAGGCTTTGAGATATCAGAGAAAATAGCCGAGAGGTTAGCGTCTAGAGGAAGGTATAATTGGAGTGTTGTGGATAGTTTCAGAGAAGGTTTGTGAGGAAAATTGAAAGGTTCAAATTTCAAGATTGATCAATCAAATTTTTTTAGTTCATCTTGAAATCTCATTTGCATCCAAACATTGTCTAGAGTCTTGTACAAATCATAGGTTTCTCCGCGACAATGTTACAATCTATTTGGCCCTATTTCAGACGAAATTCCCGAACTGAGTCCAATTTAAATTTAAAATTGAAAGTTAAAGTTTTAAGTGATTTGAGGTGCTTTGATTTTTGGTGAATTTTTAGTTGATTTTGGGTGAATTAGAGATATTCTTATGGTTTTAATCAAAGTATTCTAAAATCCCATCTAAAACCATGTGATTTTCATTTTCATGTTTTAACAAGAAAACCCCACTAAATAATTTTTAAATTCACTTGAAATCAAAGAAATTAAAATCCATATTTTTAAATATATCTAGTAACACTGGATTTATGGATTTAAGTACATTTTAAAATCACAAATTCAGTAAAATTATATTTTAGAAGAGTTTTTAAAATTTATATATTTGAAAAAAAACGAATTTGTAATTTTAATAAAATTATTTTGAATCACTTAAAATATCATGTTTAATACTCCCCTTAATTAACTTTGGAGTAAACTTAAATATTTAGCAAAGTAACACGACCGACCCAAGGCCCACCGAAAGCCCAAACAAAAGGAATTTGACGGCGAGACAGGGTCATGATTGTCATTTAGCAGGGAATATTATGTTAAACCCTAACTATTTTTCCTTCCGCTTATCATTATATATAGAGATAGGCTTCAGTCCCTTTGATTAATCCCTAGTTCTAGCCGCTACATATCTTCTACAACCATCTGAGGTAACCCTAATAGCTATACTTTCTATCCTTCTCGTTTGTGTGTTCGTTCATCTCTTTGAGGTTGATTCTTCTTTACAGTATTCTTAGAATCATTGCTTTTTGTTGATAGATTGTCCTCGATTTGATGAAAAACAACGCTTTACATTTATTTTTCCGATTCCACAGATCATATATTGTTCACATCACTCACCTGTTTGATCCGCCTCTGAATTTTTGCATTATTTGATGAGATGTTGATTGGATCTATGTTTATTTGCCTTTTGTTAATTTATCCGATGTTATAGATTTGCATGTAAATCGGTAATTCTGGGGCGGCTTACAAATATCGGTATCTGTTTCTCAGTCTTGTGTTAAAGTCTGGAAATAATCGGATTGTTTGCTTTTGACCTCTGGAATTCACCTGTATGTACATGAATTAGCTCGCTTAGCTCAGATGATAGAGCACCACAATTTGTTTTTGTGGTAGAAATCGGTTTGACTCCGATAGCGGCTATTGAAACTATATGTTGTGAGAAATTTAGTTATGATGTTATTGTATTGATATTTTTATGATTTGATTGTTTTGCAGATTTCATTAAGTAGCTATGGGTAAAGAGAAGTTTCACATCAACATTGTGGTCATTGGCCATGTCGACTCTGGAAAATCGACCACGACTGGTCACTTGATCTACAAGCTCGGTGGTATTGACAAGCGTGTGATCGAGAGGTTCGAGAAGGAAGCCGCTGAGATGAACAAGAGGTCCTTCAAGTACGCATGGGTGTTGGACAAACTTAAGGCCGAGCGTGAGCGTGGTATCACCATTGACATTGCTCTCTGGAAGTTCGAGACCACCAAGTACTACTGCACAGTCATTGATGCTCCTGGACATCGTGATTTCATCAAGAACATGATTACTGGTACCTCCCAGGCTGATTGTGCCGTCCTCATCATTGACTCCACCACTGGTGGTTTCGAAGCTGGTATCTCCAAGGATGGTCAGACCCGTGAGCACGCTCTTCTTGCCTTCACCCTTGGTGTCAAGCAGATGATTTGCTGCTGTAACAAGGTAAGCAACTTACAATTTGATTGCTTTTGTGATACCATACTCTATATTGGTTACTGTTTACTAATAATGTCTCTTATTACCTGTTTCCTTGTTTTCAGATGGATGCTACTACCCCCAAGTACTCAAAGGGAAGGTACGATGAAATCGTGAAGGAGGTGTCTTCATACCTGAAGAAGGTTGGATACAACCCTGACAAAATCCCATTCGTGCCCATCTCTGGTTTCGAGGGTGACAACATGATTGAGAGGTCCACCAACCTCGACTGGTACAAGGGACCAACTCTCCTTGAGGCTCTTGACCAGATCAACGAGCCCAAGAGGCCATCAGACAAGCCCCTCCGTCTCCCACTTCAGGATGTCTACAAGATCGGTGGTATTGGAACGGTGCCAGTAGGACGTGTTGAGACCGGTATGATCAAGCCCGGTATGGTTGTGACCTTTGCTCCTTCTGGACTGACCACTGAGGTTAAGTCTGTTGAGATGCACCACGAGTCTCTCTTGGAGGCGCTTCCCGGTGACAATGTCGGATTCAATGTCAAGAATGTTGCTGTCAAGGATCTCAAGCGTGGTTACGTTGCCTCAAACTCCAAAGGATGACCCTGCCAAGGGAGCTGCTAACTTCACATCCCAGGTCATCATCATGAACCACCCTGGTCAGATCGGTAACGGATACGCTCCAGTGCTCGATTGCCACACATCTCACATTGCAGTCAAGTTCTCTGAGATCTTGACCAAGATTGACAGACGTTCTGGTAAGGAGCTCGAGAAGGAGCCCAAGTTCTTGAAGAACGGTGACGCTGGTATGGTTAAGATGACTCCACCAAGCCATGGTGGTCGAGACGTTCTCGAGTACCCCCATTGGGTAGGTTCGCCGTCAGGGACATGAGGCAGACCGTTGCCGTTGGTGTCATCAAGAGTGTCGACAAGAAGGACCCAACCGGAGCTAAGGTGACCAAGGCTGCCGTGAAGAAGGGTGCCAAGTGAATTTCTATCGTCAGATCTCTATCCGCAGATGAATCAAGAGACAATAATAATGCTTGTTTTGTTATTCTAGTTTGGTATTTGGTTGCTTGCGTGTGGTGTAGCTTCGTCTCTTCTCCTTCAGAGCGTAATTCTCGTAATTGGGTTCTTGATAGGAGGTGGCGGAGTTATATCGCTCAAGCTTCTACTTTTTTTGTTTGAGTTGTTTTTCAGATTTTGAACTGTTTTTGGGGATTCTCTTTGTTATGAATATCGTCATTTTCCTGCGGATATTATCTTTCGTATTGTCTTATTTCTCGATATCTTGTTCATCAATCTCGCAATTTTCCTTGACTTTTTCTCCCAAAGTAACTTTGAATCAATTCAGAATACTGACTCCGATCCACGTGTCTGGTGACTCGACCATGAAAATGAAGCAGAAGAGCAAACGATATTGAACTTTTCTTTCTCTCAAGGATACATTTTAGGAACAAACAGTCGTATCAAACTTTGTAGATTTTGATTTCTCCTCCAAAGAGTTTTGAATTCGGAAGAAAGTCTGAGATGCGTGATTTAGCTCCTATACCGTCGGATTTTTGTTCAGTTTTCAGTGAATACGTTTCCCATGACTCTACAAACTTCTTCTTCTTCTTCGTGTTTTGATTTCCGAAATCGAATTTACGTGTCTCGTCGTCTGCTCTGTCCATGCTCCAATCAGCACAGCTCGGTTTTGTTCGGAGATGAGCTCGCGAAGAGCCGGGTTCCACGTCGGAAACTCAAATTCTCGGTGGTCAATGCGAAATCTCGGTTCATTTCTTGCGGAGTTCCCGGCGATTCGAAGAATCTAGGATTAGTGACTTCGAATAGTCTTTTCATTTCCAGGTTTTCGATTGAGTTCACGCTTCAGGATGACCATAGCAATATCAGTAACTTTAGGGAAGATCCGATAGTGGATAAGCTTAGTACACAATTGGGTGTAATCCATCAAGTTCCGTCGCCGCCGATTAACCGTAGCGTGATTGGTCTATTCGTGTTCTTCTTTTTCGTTGGTGTTGCTTTTGATAAGCTATGGACGTGGAGAAAGAGGCAGAGAGAAATGGGCGGAGATGGAGGTCAACGAGGACCATGGTCACAGGTGCCCAACAGCTTCTCATTGTTCCTAGAGAAAGATTTGCAGAGGAAAGAGTCAGTGGAGTGGGTGAATATGGTGTTGGGGAAGCTCTGGAAAGTGTACAGAGGTGGGATTGAGAATTGGCTCGTTGGGTTGTTGCAGCCTGTGATTGATGACTTGAAGAAGCCTGATTATGTGGAAAGAGTTGAAATAAAGCAGTTCTCGTTAGGTGATGAGCCTTTGTCTGTCAGAAATGTAGAGAGGAGGACATCTCGCCGTGCCAACGACTTGCAGTAAGTGTATAGTTATTGCTACTTTCTGTGATGATCAAATGTTAGGTTTCCTTATCCTGGATGGATTTGGCTGTTATAGGTATCAGATTGGGCTTCGGTATACTGGTGGTGCCCGGATGTTGTTGATGCTCTCTTTGAAATTCGGAGTTGTCCCAATGGTTGTGCCAGTTGGTGTCCGGGATTTTGACATTGATGGTGAGCTTTGGGTCAAACTAAGGTTGATACCGACACAGCCTTGGGTGGGAGCTGTATCATGTTCATTTGTATCACTTCCAAAGGTCACGTTTCAACTTGCAGCATTCAGATTGTTTAATCTAATGAGTATGTGTTAATCTTGGTCTTCTCTTACATTCTCTTAATGAGACGTTTAGGCGTCACTTTTGCCGCATCTCACACATCTTATATTTTCTTGTGTCATGACTGGTTTGGATGATGACTTCAGGAATTCCTGTTCTATCAAAGTAAGTTCTGCTGTGGCTGTTATCTTCACGTAGTTTATGTGTTGAATAATTGTTCCTGTCAATGTTTAATACTTGATATGTTTAGTGCTTGGTGATAGAAATACCATTTTGCTTGTTTAGATGACGTATACAACTATAGGAAGGAAATTCTTGTAATTTATCTTACTTCAGTATATCTTTAGGGTTTCAACGAGCATAGAATCTAAGATGCAGTGTTGCATCTCTTACAGGTTCTTGACCAAACTGCTCACAGTGGATTTGCCTCGATTATTTGTCCGACCAAAGAAGATTGTCTTGGATTTCCAAAAAGGAAAAGCTGTTGGACCTGTTTCAGAAGACCTAAAATCTGTAGAAATGCAGGAAGGAAACAAGGATTTTGTCGGAGAACTATCTGTTACTCTTGTAGATGCTCAGAAACTTCGATACATGTTCTCTGGTATGCTATACCTTCGCTTCTTCATGTCAGTGTTTCCTTATTACTTTGAGAAAAAAAAGAATAGACAGACAATCTGTGTTGTTCAAGTGTTAAGTCTTTTTGCGCAAGTTTCTTTTTCTTTGCTCATATTTTCCTCAATAACTGTTAACAGGTAAAACTGATCCGTATGCAATTCTAAGATTAGGGGATCAAGTAATCCGTAGTAAAAAGAACAGTCAAACTACTGTCATTGGGCCTCCTGGTCAGCCAATCTGGAATCAGGTGAACTGATCTGTTCATTCGTAATCTGGTGGTTGAATTATGATTAGTTAAGATCTTTAAACATTATAGGATTAAGTGTGGATTCTTAATCTTTGCAGGACTTTCAATTCCTTGTCTCAAATCCTAGAGAGCAAGTATTACAAATTGAGGTCAATGATCGTCTTGGGTTTGCCGATATGGCTATTGGTACTGGAGAGGTAAATCATATTTCCTTTTGTGAAAACTTTGTTTGTAATCTGTAGAATAATTTCTGGATGACGAAAACTGAATGATAATTGAAGATGTTGCCTTCCTAATTCAATGTCAAACTTTCTCATGCTTACTATCGTAGATAGTCATTTGTCAAATTACATAGTTTTCTTAGAATCTCTATAATGATTGCCTAAGGAATGGTGCTGAGTATTTAAATTCCTGTCTGCATAGCCTTATTACTTATTTATATATCCAGGTTGATCTCAGATTTCTTCAAGATACAGTTCCTACAGACAGAATTGTGGTTTTGCGTGGCGGTTGGAGTTTGTTTAAGAAGGGATCTGCGGGTGAGGTTCTGCTCCGGCTTACATACAAAGCATATGTGGAGGAGGAAGAAGATGTCAAGACCAATGTCAAAGCCATTCATGCAGATGCTTTTAATGATGGAATGTCTGATTCAGAAGAACATGGCTCATTTGTGCGGAAGGAAAAGGTTTCTTCAGATGATGTTGGTTCTGAGTCATTTATGAGTGTGTTGTCTGCATTAATTGTGAGTGAGGAGTTTCAAGGCATAGTTTCATCTGAAGCTGGAGACAATGAACTTTCTGGTGGTGGTGACTCACGTGAGGTTCCGGTACCTTTTAAGGCTGGTTTAGACACAAGATCACAACCTGCAGATCCTAGTAATGGGTCTGAAAACAACACAGGTGTATCAGGTTCCGAAAATTCTGATAGAGGTTCAGGCGATGGTGGAGGTATACAGAGGCTCAGTGTCTTACAATGATTCCCTTTATAAGTTTTCTAGACCTGAAACCGTAAAGCTTCCTGACTGCAGGATTAGCATTACTGTGGTTCGGTATAATCACTGGTATATTGGTGCTTGTTGCTATCAACATGGAAGGCTCAAGTTTCTTCAGCCCGTAATAACATGTTATACAGTTCAGTGAAGAGGTTTGTTGCAAGTAAGTCTCTTAACCTATACCAGGAGTACTTAGGAATTTCTATCTCTGGTTTTGAAAAACCACATCCTCTTTCTGTCATCTGCTTTTCTTAAGTCTGTGGAAACAACAGTGGTCTGTTCTGCATATAGTCAAGAACCAACATTGCACTTCATCTTTTTTCTAAAATAGTACCTAATACATCGGTAATTGGCTGACCAAAGCCTTTTTACTCATTGGCAGGTCGGTTGTTATCTCTTCTCAACCTTAGATATGGCTTATAAAGAGGTCTCACTTTTGCATAAATTTTATTCTGTTGTATGCATAGCCATTAGAAGAGGGACACTTAGTAGAGGCAAGAGAGTTTTGGTTCAAATTCTTGAAGTATAGTTGTACTGTTTACACGTGTGGTTGGTAATACATAAAAACAAATACAAAAATTTCTGTGTAAAAATTTGCTTTCAGAAATTGTTATCGTCTCCAATGCCATTCGTTTATGGTGAAATTAGGTGACAATCCTTGTTTTGTTTGGTTAAGTGGCATTTCACAGTTCTCAAATTAAGCTAAGGAGACAAATAAGTTATATATTTGTATCATTGGTCAGTGTAATTTAATCTTAAAAAATTGAGAAGGAAGAAGAAATCATGTGACCAGTGGATCACGTGTGGCACATGGAGGCCAGTTAATCTTGTAGGTCCGTTGACTTGTACGTTTCCTCATCTCTCTATATTGCTTGTCTTGTTCCTTCTTTCCCCCTTTGTTCTCTTGTATTGCCACATAATTCAAAATAAATAAAATTATCTAGATTTGGAGGATTTTGCATGAGCTTGGCCAACTTCGAAACAGGTAATAGTCCCTGTCTTATTTCTATTTACAATCTTTTTTTTCGTATTACTAATATGTAATTTGAAAGGCAATATTAGTTGAGAGGTAATGCATAGTATTAAATGGTCTACCTGATAAGCAACTTGTTTAATTTCTTCTTTGTCTTTAATAGCTTATCTTAGACAGTAATTGGTCATGGAAAAATGGAAAAACTGAGAGTTCAGTTTAACCCTTCATAGAAGAAATATTCAGATATTCATAATCCTTCTAGTACTAATAAAGTAATTATAGCTTAATATTTTAGACAAAATTTTCTGGAATTCCTCTTTTCCTTTAAGCTCCAAGACTCCAAAATTTGCAGAAAAGTCAGAAAAATACTTGAACGTACGTCTGTGTAATGTACCATCAAAAAGGAACAGAAAAGTTATCCAAATGGGCAAAAATGGTTTTGCTGTCTTTCGCCAAGAAAAAAATGTTCTGTACTTCTGTTGTTTAAATTCAAATACATTCAAATTTATATGAACTTGGTTTTATTCTCCCTAAAAAGGAAAAACTATATTTTGCCAAGGTGATATAATATAGTATTATAACGTGCGCTGCATCATTCATGTGAACTTCTTTTAAAAGTTTATATTTTTTTAGTTATAAAGAAAGAGAGAAGACTTTGTCATTAATAGCTAAATAATTGTATTATACAGGAATCACGTGTATAAAGGACAAGCCAACTCTTCACACACTGTGCAGATAGTCTCACACTTCTCTCTGGAACTCTTCAGGTACCTTCTCTCTTTCTCAATCTCTTCCTGTCTCTGTCTCTGTTAAGTTTGCTTTCAAATATCTTGTTTCTGATAGATTTCTTAATTTTAATGGAATTGGATGTTTGAAATATTACCATAACTTTTCTGCCTTTGGTGGTGCTGTGAGACGAACAAATGTTTAGATCTAGAGGACTCATGCACGGCTTTTTGTTTCCTTGTTCTTTTCCCCACTATATCTGTTTTGTGTAGCTAATAATATACAGATTTTCATGGTCTTAACCTGTTATTTTGTTCAGATAGGTTTCTCTAGTGTCTGACACTGTTCAGTATTGCTCTTTCATAGAGTAACTTGATCTTGCATCTAAACTAAACCTACAATATTTGTAACAAGACCCTAGCTGGAAGTGTTTCTTGTACTTTAGTCTTTTGATTTGTCTAATGATATAAGCCTGAGCAAATTGACTGACTCATGTCCTGGAACCATCTAGTTTCTTAACGCTCAAGTTGGGATTTGAGCGGCTTTTGTTTACTTACAACTGGTTTGGTCGTTTGATGCAGTGAGATAGGCACCTCTCAGACTTCCCAAAAATGTCGGATCTTGAGGCACCACTTGTACGTCCAAAGAGAAAGAAGATTTGGGTTGATTACTTCATCCAGTTCCGATGGATCATCGTCATCTTCGTCGTCCTTCCCATCTCTGCCACACTCTACTTCCTCATCTACCTTGGTGATGTTTGGTCAGAAATGAAGTCCTTCGAGAAACGCCAAAAGGAACACGACGAAAACGTAAAGAAAGTCATCAAACGACTCAAGGGGAGGGATGCAACAAAGGACGGGCTCGTTTGCACCGCACGCAAGCCATGGATCGCGGTAGGAATGAGGAACGTGGACTACAAGAGAGCCCGACATTTCGAGGTCGACTTGTCTGCTTTCCGCAACGTTTTAGAGATCGACAAAGATAGAATGATCGCTAGGGTGGAGCCTCTTGTGAACATGGGACAGATCAGCCGCGTCACCGTTCCAATGAACCTATCCCTTGCTGTCGTTGCTGAGCTCGATGATCTAACTGTTGGCGGACTCATCAATGGCTATGGTATTGAAGGAAGCTCTCACATATATGGTCTGTTTACAGACACTGTTGAGGCTTACGAGATTGTTCTAGCGGGCGGGGAACTTGTCAGAGCCACTAGGGACAATGAGTATTCTGATCTTTTCTATGCCATTCCATGGTCACAAGGGACACTAGGGTTTCTTGTTGCTGCTGAGATCAGGCTTGTACACATCAAAGAATACATGAAACTTACTTACATTCCGGTCAAGGGTGATTTACAAGCCGTAGCTCAAGGTTACATGGATGCTTTTGCACCAAGAGATGGAGATCCAGCTAAAATCCCGGATTTCATCGAAGGCATGGTTTACAGTAAAACTGAAGGCGTAATGATGACTGGTAACTATGCTTCCAGAGAAGAAGCTAAGAAGAAAGGGAACAAGATCAATAACGTTGGGTGGTGGTTCAAGCCATGGTTCTACCAATATGCGCAAACCGCATTGGAGAAAGGAGAGTTCGTCGAGTACATCCCAACCCGAGAGTATTACCATAGGCACACTAGATCATTGTATTGGGAAGGTAAGCTTATTCTTCCGTTTGGTGACCAGTTTTGGTTTAGGTTCCTCCTTGGCTGGTTGATGCCTCCAAAGGTCTCTCTTCTTAAGGCCACTCAAGGTGATGCCATCAGAAACTACTACCATGAAATGCACGTCATCCAAGACATGCTTGTTCCTCTCTATAAAGTCGGTGATGCTCTCGAATTCGTCGACCGTGAAATGGAGGTAAGCTCTCTACAGTCTGTGGTTGGCTTTTGTGGATGTTAAAACTTCAATCCTAATGTTTCGTTTTTCGTTTAGGTTTATCCCCTTTGGCTTTGCCCTCACAAACTCTTCAAACCACCGGTTAAAGCCATGATTAACCCCGAACCAGGATTCGAGTATGATCTGAGACAGGGAGACACAGAAGATGCGCAGATGTTCACTGATGTTGGAGTCTACTATGCTCCTGGTCCTGTTCTGAGAGGTGAAGTGTTTGATGGAGTTGAAGCTGTGCGCAAGATGGAGCAGTGGTTGATAGAGAACCATGGCTTCCAGCCTCAGTACGCAGTGTCTGAGCTCGACGAGAAGAGCTTTTGGAGAATGTTTGATGCTGACTTGTATGAGCATTGCCGCAGGAAATACAGAGCTATAGGCACGTTCATGAGCGTTTATTACAAGTCGAAGAAGGGACGTAAGACTGAGAAAGAAGTCCGAGAAGCCGAGCAAGCTCATCTCGAAACAGCCTACGCCGAGGCAAATTAAAAGCAGATGAATGAATCGTGTATTGCTTGTGTTTCCTTGGAATGTTTCTCATTTTGCTTCGACTCTTTATGAATATTCTCGTTTGTTATTTTTCCTTGTCTTCTCTTGTCCTTCTATGAAACCGTATGCTATCAAATGGAGTTTTGCTTCAATCTTGTCTTGTAATAACTTCTTTTAATGTTTGGCAGATACAACATTGCTTTCAATGTAATAACTTCGTTATCCATCGTAAAACGATATCATAAACTACACGATTGGTTTCAGTTTCTTAAACGGCTAGAAACTGGATTTGAAATAGGGTAGGTTTTGATCGGTCTTACTTGAGTCGATCTCGGTTTACATCGTTTGCTCCGATTCTTAAAGGATTTAAAATCGTAAACAATACTACGAAGTAAAGGAACGTTGTAACATAATAAATTTACAGAGACGTTATCTTTCTCTTAAGAATCACCACCGACTTTAGCGACAATAATTGAAGCATAGTGAGCAATGTTAGCCTCAGGGGATTGTTTAAGCCTCGCGATGACCGGGAACAGCTCCGATGACTTGACAAACTGTCTGCAAATCTGGTGGTTCGAACACATTTTAGCCAATGAGAACAGTGCAATCTTTAGCGGTGACTCACTAGCTGACTCTTTCTTGCTTGGGTTCAGGGCAAGAGCCGAGCAATCAGCGACCAACCTCAGTAACGTCTGCACCACAAAAGACACGAAATCAGACACCAGTTACAATATTGAACACCAAATTTCGTGTTTTTGACCTTAAGACAAGTTCAAAGTAATAATTTTATGAAGTGACGAAAGCATTTAAACTTCGTGATGGAGTTAACGCATGTAGATACTAACCTGTAAAGCTCCTTTGGAGACTATATCTTCACAAAGCTTGTTGGAGTTTCGGACAAGATTGCTCAATGCACCAGCAGCGTTTGCTTTTGTCTTGTCTTCCTCGGCCGTGGTCAAAACGTTTGCTAACTGCGTTATAGATCGTCTTAGTTCTTCATATAGCTTGTCGCTATGGTAAGCAGCGTTACCAATCTACAAAAAAAATAGAAAGGACCTTTCAAAAAATTGATCAGAAGTATTATGGAAATGGAGAAAAAAATCAGTTTGATAATTTTTGATGAGTTTACAGCAAAGCAAGCGAATTTCTGTGTTCTTTTGTCCGGATCAGCGCAACGATCAATGAGGAGACCGATGATTTGCTGTTCCGCCTACACATAATAAACACGAAGACCATGTAAGAAGGAACATACTGTTCTGAAAAACGTTTTAAGGCTCAAAAGTAAAAGCTCTGTGTTACTTACGAGAGCACTGTAGAAGTAATCATTGTGTCTGCACATGTTTCCAAGAGCACTACAAGCTTTTGCACGTATATTCGGATCCTGATGAGTAAGAAACTCCTTTAAAGGCTGCAAAACAGAAGCCTCGCCGATGTATTTATAGAAAGCCTGCAAGGTTGAACAATAGTAACAAATTAGACAACTTTACTTCACTATCCTCCTCTTAAGTTTTTAGAAATTTAGAAAAGCTTACCTTATCCATCCTTGATAGATCAGAGATTATCATCAGAATATCAAGTATGACTTCTTTTGGACTTGACTGGTTGAGTAATTTTTTCATTCTGTTAGGATCCAATAGACCTTTGCTAACGAGCTCTACCGCGAGACGTGGACGACCCACCATTTTGGCAAGAAAAGCGACAGGTCTTACTAAATCTTTCAAATCCAAGTGTTCCAAGCAACGGAGGATTAAAGTTGGCACTCCCACCTGAAATATTTATAATGAACATGGACCAGAGATAAATCAATTTCTATTTACTGATTGATGTTTGTCCCCCAGAGAAAGAAAACCATAGATTCCTATCAACAAATAGACAAAAAAAAAGTAAATAAAATCAAGGAAGCAGAATCGAAGAACTAACCTCCAGGAGGACTTTGATGTATTTGTCCATATCCTCTTCTATAGCTTTTAGCAAATCTCTATCTTCCATGCACACTCTCACACCAGGAGAGCCCATGTTGAGAATGAATCCACTATTTACGGAAGCAGTGGCAGATAACGAACCAGGTTGACTTTGTAGAGCGACAAAAGGAAATGCTAGCAGATCAATTATCACATTGATTGTCTCTCTGACTCCATCTTTGCCTCCCCCAGGACCTCCCCAGTTCTTTACTAGCTTGATATGAGCATCAGACATTAGATAAGAAATAAGCTTCATGTTTTCAGTCTTCACCAGGATCTGACGGAAAGTTAAAGTCCCGCCTGAAAGACAGTGGCATATGGACGAAACAGCCCATATAACGCCAATAGGCGACAAGCCAGTCCGGTTTGGTGTGTTCTTGATGTCATCTGGGGAAGCATTTGAAAGTCTGCCAGCTAACAGATTTATAAGAAGCAATGGTGTCCCACTAGCGATAAGCTGCTGCACAGTTAAAGGTCCTCCCCACTTCAATCTGGATTCTAATAAACCAATACATCCATCCAGAAGTCCGTTCCATTTGGTAAGATTACACTTGGCAGGATGAGATATGACTTCACCTTCATTACTTGGCACAGGTCTAAGATGATAACAGAGCTTAGTAGCTCGAGGAATCATAGGAACTGCCATCTCAGAGACAGAAGATTCAGCAGAAGATCCTTTCTCAAGAGAGAGAATAGATGCGAGAGCAAGCATAGCTGATGCTGAGTGATTCTGAAGGGAAGCTTCGATTTTATCATCTGAGGCAATATGATTGGCTATAGCAGAAAGACGATACAGATGCTTCTTTGGAGATGTTGTAAGCATTAACAGAGGAGAATTTCTCCCACTTAACTTCAAACATTGAGCAACTGTTGCCAACAGAAGGCATGAATGGAACACCAGATTGTTTAGTCTACCCTTGATGTTATTTGCTTCTCCTGTTTGTTGATCCTTGATTGACGAGGTAGCGTAGGACAGTATAGAAAATATTTCTGAAATAACGGTACCATCCTCTCCGCCACTGACGACACTAGTAATAGGCAGTGAACTGGGAAGACCACAAAGCACGCTAGGCATAATTCCATTGTGAAGGCAGCATCTTGATAAGAGCTGAAGCATCACAAAAGAAGTTTCGAGTTAAGTTTTTAGAGAGGAAAAAGAAACAACCTAAATTCTTCTCAATTAACATATCCAAAGAAGGAGAGGAGCATCGCATAATCACCTGAATTGCAGAAATCAATGGAGCCTCCACTCGTTGGTGAAGGCAATGACTGACAGCAACTTGCACATGCTTGGAACGTAGATATGTTTTTGTCACTGTATCGACGAGTTTCTCAGATAACGGACCCCACTCACTGTTACTTTCATCAAGCTGAGAGAGACGATGGCTCTGCAAAGCATCTAGAGGAAATATGTAGACATTGTCGTTTTTGAAGAATGTTTCGGAAGTATCTATGAGGATCCATATTGATCTACAAGCTTCACAAGCTGCTGCTAACATGTGTGAGGAGCCAGAAGCTAAACTTGACCCAGAAGAAGCCAAACAAAGACACAAATGATCAACTATGCGGGACATGTTAGCATGCTCCAAAATCTGTTTAGAAACAGAATCAGGAGTTGAAGACTTTAGATCTTCTGCAACTCGAGACAACATTGTTGAGATGCAAGAACAAGCCTCATATAAGATTCGACCAGTTCCCTCTTCTTCCCATCCAACAACCTACATACGCATAAGATAATAAATAAGTGTAGGTAGTTAAATCTCACGCGAGACTTGTACACCAAAAGGAAGGTTACCTGTACGAAGATTTCTACTACTTTGGTCCAGTGCCTTATGTAGGAACTATGTAGGCTAGTGCCTTCAATATGCCCTACCAAGTTTTTAGTGACCGAAAGACTCTGATAAAGAAATAAGACAGGGTTAGAAACCATTCCTGACCGTCAAATAAAGTAGAAGATCTAATCAGACATTTGGCAGAAATTTGGTCAAAAAGAATTCACCTTCGGTATTAAGTTGTTGAACTCGGATGATTTCATCCCAACAAGAGCATCAGTAAAGTCTAGCAGTGCACAAGTTATTTTCTCAATAAGTCCAACTGAAACTATGGCACGAGCTGTAACCAAATTGGAAATGATCCTCAGGGACTGAACAGAGCAAGCAACATCTTTGTCCCTGCGCACCATGAAGGAAATGTGAATATGCATGTATGCGAAGATATCATAAATTGCAACAATTCACTGGAAGAGAGTATAAGATCATAAGACCAGAAATTTGCAAGCCTATTTTAGAGGTAACGTAGAAAACAGTTTTATGTTCCCGTTCTTATGATCAAGTAGGAGCAAAGCGGATTATATTTAAAATGAACAAACCATACACCAAATTTTACCTTTTAAAATCTTGCGGGGATTTTGAACATCTTTCCAGTGACAGAAAAACAAGATCCAGTGCCTTATCATCTTCACCTATAACTTTTGCACCTTTGACAGTGCGGGATGTATTTTCCAATTTGTCTAATGTTGCGTTACCTGAAACGGGAAAATAGAACCTAGGCATGAATATGGGTCCATTATAAAAGAAGGCAAGAAATTAAGAAAGTCAACAATGATTCTTTTCACAGATAGCAAAGTGGACGTTCTGACACTGATCTATAAAACATGCAGAGAGACGAAAGGAAAACTGGGTTTATATTTGAAATATACAAAACCTGAAGTAAGATCCTAAGGAATAGAGAAAAAATCCTTAGATCGTGGGAGCTGTGGGAAATCTAACATGCCTCGAGAATAGCATGAAACTATAGATAAGAATCAAACTCTAAGACTTGTAGACCTAAAGATAAATCGACCATACCGACTACATGCTTTGATGAAGAAGAAAATGCATTGGGACATAACAAACAATGAGAGAACGATATCCAAATATGTTAGATTGATAAGTGATCATCATAGACAAATCTACGAAATACATGTATATAAATGACACCATGACGTCATACATGCACTGCTCCCTCTTATGTATCTGTTTAATAAATTTAGGTTCTCAAAAGTAAGAAGAAGAGATTTATAAATAGCATCTCCCATTACCTGAACTTTTAATCTCCTCTTGGGTTGGGAATCCGAGGAAATCCTCAGGAGATGGAGAATTTACTTTGACATTCTTCATATCTGACTGAACACCAGCTAGACTTCCTGGAGCAGAAACCTTCTCAACTGGGGTCGCAGAGTCACAATTTTCTGTGTCACATTTAACACTAGAAAATTAGTCAAGGAGAAAAATAAGTAAGAGATAGAGTCTAACAACACACTTAAGTTAATCAAACCATTTCTCAGTTGCCCATCATTTCCTTGGAGTCTCCAAGCTGCCTTATGGACAACTACTGGAGTATGCATTTCCTGAATACACGTTCGAAATGTTCTTAGTGATATATAATTCCAACAATATTTTCCGATATCAAAGAACATTTCAAAAAGAAAATGCTTTGTACATAAGACACAAGATGCATAGTATAAGTCATTAAGATCAGATTGTTACCCTGGCTTCAACTTCCTCTTGTGATTCTTTGACAAAGGGGTGCTCGAGAAGAGTGGGCCAGGTTAATCGACTTTGAGGCACCTGTTTTCCATTGTAAAGACACAATTTAAACAAGTCCAAGAGAAATCCTAAACATATTAATTAGTGGTAAAAGCAGCGGTGACAAAGATAGAAACTTCACCTTATTGAGCAATCCTTTCAAAAAGCTTTTGAAATAAGGACTCATTTCATCAGGATATTTGACAGGATCCTTAAAAAGTCACTAAAAATGTTAGCTCAAAATTTTAGCATAGACGATGAACAAGAATATGCAATGATTTATACCTTAACAATGTGACGAATGAGAGCATATACGGAATTAGTGTAGAACGGAGGTTGGCCTACATATAACTCATACCTGATATATCACAAAAGATGATTTAGAACCATCTCAAGTTCGGTGAAATGAGTATAACACATGAACGACGCAAAAATTAAAAGCATGAAAGAAAAGCCATCACAGTCATCGAATTAATATATGCAAATATGCAATAGCATTTATAAGAATGAAATGGAAGTAGGACAACTCAAATGAGTTTCTCCACCTACAATATAACACCAAGAGACCACAGGTCAGCAGTGTGATTGTATGGCTGTTCTCTTACAAGCTCTGGCGCCATGTACAGCGGAGTGCCTGAGTAAGATTTCGTTCACGGAAAATTAACAAGGCATGACTTATTTGAGTTATTCATTTATTGATAAGCCTAAAGAAAAGAAAAGGTGTTAACCTTTAATGGATCGCAAAACCACAGTGTTGGTGGACATAGCTCGAGCAAAACCAAAATCACATAGCTGAAAATAGCAAAGGATAGGCAAGCAAAATTATGCTACAGAGAAATAATTGAAAAGGTGTAAGCAAGCTGCATTGAGAATTTTTTTTTTTTTTACGTATAATTAGCTAAGTAAATGAGATTCATGGCTAGCTGGATCCTCTTCTAGTACTGTATATTTACATGATAAATATAGTTTTCTGATTTAATGACCGACCCAAAGTTCCAAGTGTCATAAATCATTTTACAGAAGTATGCAACTCAAAACTCTTAAGAAGCAAACGTGAGTAGAAATATCGTATTTGGCACTTTAAACCTATCATAGTTCTCAGTTTTTAAGCAACCAACAAAAAATAGAGCAGGAAGCAGCAAAAGGAAAGTTGTATTACCTTAACAACAGACCCAGCACCAATAAGAATGTTTTGTGGCTTCATGTCACGGTGAATTATACGGTTTGAATGCAAGTAATGCAATGCTTTTACCTGGATTGTCGAGAAGTATGAACATTGTGTTACCAATCATAAAATAGGAAAATAAGATAAAAAGATATGAGCCATCTTAGCAAGACGTGTTACCAACTGCTTTGCGATTGCTTGAACTTGCTCTTCCGGAAGGCACTTGTCATCTTCAAGAATCTCAAACAATTCACCCTGTGAAATTAGGCGTTTCATTATCTCAAATAGGTCCAGTCATAAATCAGTTTCTTTTAGACTCTAGAATAAACAGAGAGAAAAATACTTGAGCAAACTCAGTGACAACACAGAACTCTCTTGCGTTTTCAAAGGAGTCGAGCATTTCAATAATATTCTCATGCTTGAGCTTTCGCAATATCTGAAAGCATACAAACAAGAATGGTCAAACCCAATGATTTAAGGAGACGTCACAATAGATGGTTAAGCATAGAAGTTCAAGGAGTGAAATTTCCAAACCTCGATTTCTTGTCTTAGACTATGTATATCCTTGTCACTCTTTCCTTGCTTCATGATGAACTTCATCGCCACCGTCTGATCAAAAGGGCGATCAAATTCCCAAATTAAAAAATTGATTTGCTGATTTTAAGTAGTAAATGTTAACGAACAAAATTACTCGTCAGTATACCTGGCCCGTAAACTTTCGTCTTCCCTTGTAAACCCTTCCAAACGAGCCTTCACCGACGAGCTCAATCACATGATAATCCTCGACACCCATATTTGAGCCCGATTTCCCTTTTTAATCTGCAGTATAAACCAACGGTTTAGCTTCCGACGCTAGATTTCGGCACAGAAACTCAATCCAGCAAAAATGAGAGTCTACTAAAAGCTTAGAAGCATTTCTAAACTGTGCTCCGTTCCGATTTCGTGTTTAGCATAAGTAAAAGTAGCGAATCGAGTAACGGGGAAAATCAAATTAAGCTACAAATGCAGATCCTAAATCTGATTGGCAATAATAAATATCAGGCGAAGTTCGGAGTAAAACGGGGAAACCGAAGATTAAGGAAATAAAGACGAATAGAGAACCGTTTAGAAAGACGAAGTGGTGGCCGACGGAGATGGTAGGACTGGGGATACCGCCGACGAAGAACGGCGGAGGAGGTCTCCGGCAGTGAATCGAGGTATAGGATGAAGAGAGATCCGTGGAATCGATGTTTGGAGAGAGAGAGACAGTGTTTGGATATTCTCGGAAACTTTTGAAATTCAAAAAGAGGGAAAAATCTTACTCCTTCGTCCTTCCCCAGAGAGTGCTCTCTCTCAAACTTTATAAAAAGCAAACCTCACATTTTCCGGTTTATTTTTATTTTATTTTAAAACGGGAAATGACAAAAATTCATTATTTTATTTTATCATTTTCAAAATTTGTTCCTAAAATCACTACTTTATATTCTCCATAAGTTTATGTATACAACTTTCCACTTTTTTTTTCCAGTGAAAGGTTTGCTAATTTTTTAAATTGTTGGTTAATTTTCATTTGTTTTATAATTTGCATGGGTTATGAGATCATGTTTTATTTTCAGTTTTAAATCGTGAATTTAGCCTCAGTGAAACATAAAGGTCAAATTTTGTGTTATCAGCGTTTTCTTCCAAACTTCGTGATTACAAATGTTTCACACATCTACAGTTAGCCAAATCATAACATGAGTACTAGTAAAGTAAAACAATAAAATCTTGATCTGAGGTTTTCGGATCTAGTATTGTTTGGTCTACGATTATATATCTTGATCCTCTCAAGATAAACTGAGAGAGAAATAGTGATCGTGTCTCCCCAAACATTGTCTATCCCAGATTAAACCATGTAGTTTTAGATTCAAGATCCATATAGTTCCATCATGAACCCGTAAAATCTACAAACTTACTTGACTAATAAACATATATCTTATTTTAAGTTACTTTGACAATGCCAATCCTTTTTTTTGTAACTACGATACTAGCCGGTAGCCGCCTATATGAGATAGCCTGCTCCTCACATTCAAAAAAATTATCTAATAAGATTCACGTCCCCATGTTTTTGTACGTATTTGCTCAAAGATCTTATTACTAACACTTCTCCAAGGTCTCGGTTTCGTATCAAAAACCGTGGCTCCGACCATACTAATAAGATTCACGTCCCCATGTTTTTGTACGTATTTGCTCAAAGATCTTATTACTAACACTTCTCCAAGGTCTCGGTTTCGTATCAAAAACCGTGGCTCCGACCATACTTTGGTAGTTTGGTTTTGATATAAATTCAAAGAGTACACCAAATGAAGTATGGTCCTCAACATTTTTGTCACGTGGCACGTCTCTATTGCTATTTGATAACCTTAGGCATTTTCCGGAATTCTTGTGAATCTTTATCCTCAAATGTTATACACTTATACTAAGTATCTGGTCATGAAAAGGACGTTAATATATGTTATCTCTTCCAATTTCTACTACCGAGTGGTTAACAGTAACCCAACTACTTCACAAACATTTAAATATTTCTTAATTTGAAATATAGTCATCAAATTACCTTATCTTTAGACTAGTGGACTAGTGTGGTTCCCGAAGTTGCAATGTGATAAACTTTTTTTTTTGATCATCGCAATGTGAGAAACTAAATTCAACTAATGCTAATGGGAAAACAAAACATTAACTACATATGTATATACATCACCTTTATACAAAACAATTAAATCACTTTCCACAAACTAAGTTATTCTTTGAATGTTTCTACAAACTTGTAATAGTGACGGAAAGCAAAATTCAACTGATAAGGTTACAGAAATAGGAATTTACAAAAATGAAAAAAAAACATGTAGGAATAGTATCATTTTAACTTTAAACCTCTATAATTAAATAAAAAAAATTGAATGACAAGATTATATTCACCTTATCAGTCAAATTCGGTATCGTAAATATGTCACAAGTTATACTTTGAGGGTAAATATGTCACAAGTTACAAGTTACAAGTTACCTTATACTTTACATACTTTGAGGGTAAATATGTCACCTTATACTTTTCACATATTACCGAATGAGATTCAAACATATACAATTTTTATTTGATTTTTGAATTATCCTTTTTTTTTTTTAATATATCCGACGGAAACGGAATCGGATTATATAATTTTAACGGCAGAAAATACGACAGGAGGAGAGAGAAGAGGCTTTTTTGGGTTTGAATGAGATTAGCGAAGGCCGCTTTTCTTCTGCTATCCTCAACCAAACCTCCCTCTAGGGTTTACTCTCCCCACTTCCGCCGCCCTTTTCTTTCTCACCTCCGCTTCTCTTCCTCTTCGTCCACGTCTTCCGCCGCAGTCATGCCGGGTTCCGAACCATCGGAGATTCAGTGGCCAGCTAGGAGAGTCAGGGATACCTATTTCGATTTCTTCAAGGGGAAAGGTCACAAGTTCTGGCCATCAAGCCCCGTTGTTCCCCATAATGATCCTACTCTTCTCTTCGCCAACGCTGGTACGAAACTTCGATCCCCAAATTTTGATTGTTTTCCCTTTTATCTGTTCAATTCTTCCCGATGAGATTAGGAATTGGCTTAGCTTGATCTGTGAAATTCGAGTTTTATTGAGGTGGGTTAATCTCAAATTGGATCCTAGCTGAGGAGCTCAGTGGAATTGTTTAATCAGTCTTCGTTTGACTTTGAAGCTTTGGGATTTATTCATTATTCATTGTCACTTTTATGCGAAATTGATAAGACTTTGTAGTTTGGGTAATTCATATACTGTCGTGAATGTCATGTTGTTGATTCTAAGCTGTGTAGATTAATTTCTCGCAATCGGACTTTTTCGTTGATATGTGCTGACATTGAAACTTCTCTGTTTTTCAAGGAATGAACCAGTACAAGCCAATATTTTTGGGAACGGCTGACCCAAATACCGAGCTCAGTAAGCTAACGCGGGCATGTAACACCCAAAAGTGTATTCGTGCTGGTGGAAAGCATAATGACCTTGACGATGTTGGCAAAGATACTTACCATCACACCTTCTTTGAAATGCTTGGTAACTGGTCCTTTGGAGATTACTTCAAGAAGGAAGCCATTGAATGGGCTTGGGAGCTTTTAACCAAGGTAATTAGAACAACTGTAAATCTTTTCTTCCCCACATGCAAAATGGGAAATTTGTTTTTTGTTTACGTGATTTGAGCAAATAAGCATGGTATTCAGTAAAGTGTTGTCTCTCTCCTCTGCTACACTATGTCACAAGTTTGTAAAGTGATGCTACTCTTTTCATTAGATTGTAAATTTTATTGAGATACCCTGAGACTTTATTTCACTATATTGTAAAGTTAATATTCTCTTTTCGTTGGGTTGTATATTTCATTGAGAGCTGATGAGTAGACCTCCTGTTTTCATGCCTCAGGTCTATGGGCTACCGGCTGATCGAATTTACGCTACCTATTTTGGCGGTGATGAGAAAGCTGGCCTTCAACCTGATAATGAGGCTAGAGATATATGGTTGCAGTTTCTTCCACCTGGACGTGTGCTTCCCTTTGGTTGCAAAGTATGTTTCTTTCATCACTCCCATAAAATACTATCTTAAAACCGAATAAAAATGAACAGCATTGAAAACCTTGTTTATGAATTCCAGTCAGAATTTGTACCAAATTTAAAACTAAGGATTTTCTAATGCTACCTTTTTTTTTTGATGAACCTGCAGGACAACTTCTGGGAAATGGGAGACACAGGTCCATGTGGACCTTGTACTGAGATACACTATGATCGTGTTGGTAACCGTGATGCTGCATCCTTAGTTAACAATGATGATCCAACATGTTTAGAAATCTGGAATCTCGTCTTTATTCAGGTAGAGACCCTCTCTGTCCCAATTGTAATTATTTCCATTTTAGTACTATTGACGTGGGTATCACATTTGTTCTTTTAATGATTTTGTAGATCATGTAACTGAAACTATTTTACGCCGTTAGCTAGATTGTTCTTGCTTCTTTTTAGTGTTGCTCTTTGTTATTATTTCCTCTAATGGGCCCTGTTACGTATTTTTCAAAATAGTTCAACAGAGAATCTGATGGCTCACTAAAACCTCTGCCCGCTAAGCATGTCGATACCGGAATGGGTTTCGAGAGGTTGACTTCTGTTCTTCAGAACAAAATGAGCAACTATGATACAGATGTGTTCATGCCTATCTTTGATGACATCCAAAAGGTAATTTGGGAAATCTTCTGTTGGTGCGTTTATGACATTCTGTTGATATATTGAGTTACTGTTGTGTGGCTCCTCTTAGGGATGCTTTTACTGCCTTACTTTAGTACTATCATCATTTCAGTTATCTATTGTCAAGTGGATTATGGATCTTGGTAATTCTATAGATTCTGTGATCATCTTTACCTATTTGAGCTTACAATTATTCTCCTTTCATGTGACACCGTCAATTGTTATGAATATATTTAGTGAATTTGAGTATAATGATCTAGGCATCATAAATATGGGTATCCTGGAGATCATTTCCTTGTTAGCTCTGCAATTTTCATGTATTTACCACAGCGAGAGAATTTAAAAGAGTTCAGATTGGTCGTTTAACTCCTAGTTGCTGCAAATCTTAAGCTGAGGTGTTGATGCTTTCACTTTTCAGGCCACAGGAGCTAAGCCATATTCTGGAAAAGTTGGTCTTGAAGATGTCGACAGAGTTGATATGGCATACAGAGTGGTTGCTGATCATATCAGAACTCTATCATTTGCGATTGCGGATGGCTCTCGTCCTGGTATGGCCGTGGTTTCTTGTT